TTCCCTTCCCGACTTGCGGAACCTTTGTAACTTCCAAGCAGCAGGAAATGTTCGACTCGCCCGCTCTTTTATTTTCTTTCGTTTCCTTCACACACACACGAGTTGTTTCACGCTGGAATTCTTCCCTCGTTCACGCGGAGAAAAACTAATCGCGACGGTGGCGTTATCCGTCACGGTTCGATCATTATGTCAGCGGTTTCTCGTTCGCTCCAAGTTCCTATCAACCCAATATTCGTTCCTTTCGTTTCACACGCTCGCGACTGAGTATCAATACGAAAGTCTGCAGTAAACAATTGCATTTTTATGCAATTGTAACGTTAATTAGATTTGCAAATAATTTTCGGCGAAGGATGTCGCAAGTTGAAAATGGATCGCGTTGTTCGTCGCTCGTTCAGCAAGTTCACCGCGTCCCTGCGGGTTCGATACACAGACCAATATCCTATTTACATGCTTAAATTAGTTGCGCCAACGATCGGGGTTAACTATCAAATTGAAACAGGTGCGCGTGCCGCGAGTTTATCCGAATCAAATTCCGATCGTGACAACAAGTGTAATTGGTCCATTTGCGGGGGGGGAAAATCTGATAAATGTCGCGTTTCCCCGGGAGTGTTTGGGAAGAGGAGGGATGATATTAATGCCACCAGGTTGCCGCCGGTTGCTTCCTCAGGAGCAACTCGACACGCGGCCGAATATTCATCACGTTTAAGTCAACAATTTACGATATTCATGCGGCGTAATAGAAGTTTCCATTATACTAATTGTCTGGCGACGCGCGTGTGCCAACGATACGTATTATAGCGTTTTATCTCTGAAAGGGATTGGTAAGGGAATATCGAAGGTAATTCTCTCTGTCTAGTTCTATGAAATAATGTTCCGAAATTTATGGCACCGTGAGATCTCGAGAGGGATGATCGTTTCTTCGTGCAAAGGAATATTTTTTCCTTGAAACACTGAAGTTTTGGTAAATTTAAGTGTTAATACTGTTTCTTTTTTTTTTTTTTTTTACAGTATTTCGAAGATGTTTTTTCAGACAAAAATTGTAAAAGTTTCATTAAAGGATGTTACAAACGTTTGCAAAATTTCTTTTTGACATCAAATTGGATTATTAGAGTTATGTAACTTTGGTAGTTTTACTTTCATTTCATTATAGAGAGTATAGGATACATGAAATTAAATATTTAAAATTGTATTGTTACACCTTGACACGATGCAAAATTATATAAAATAGAAAAGATACTTCAAAATTACATAAATTAAGTATATTTAAGAAAGTCTGATCATTGGCACACGCAAGTCTATGATAATAATTTTACACTTACATTTCATGATAAAACGGACAGAGCATCAATCATGCTTGAATGCAGTTTCTGACTCTCGTTAAATTCTGAATAATTTTTATACGTGCATACGTTCCACGAAATAATATCTATGTACAAATGAATGAAAATATTTCAAAGCAGTAGCAGTACAATATCTTTGTTTACCATTCCCACGGGGGAAGTTTCAACGAGCGAGGCTTCGGCGCGATACAAAAACGGGGGACTATAAACAAAAAGGTTATGAAACGTCACGACAAAGACCTTTGTGTTCTTACTCACTGCAGTCACTATGGCACGGTCAACGTTAGTTTCACGACACGGTTCGTGTTCTCCGTATATTATCGCGACGTTACTCCTGACGTTATAAAATTCGTTTCCGTTGTTTAATTGCGTGTAACATTAAATATCTCGAAATCCAAGCTTAGAAAAGAAATAGCATTTGTCGTGTGTTCTACCAGTGCCTTCATTGCGATGAAGATCTGCTGATACACGGTAAATAATTACGATTATTGATACTCTTTACGCACACGTGGTTACTTAACATTTCCATTAACATTTCCATATTCTTTGTCGTGTATGAAGTGTTACTATTGCTCTCGTGATAATAATAATATTGTCGAAGAGATCGTCTATTGAAGAGAACATTGTAGTTGTTTAATTATTCATTTCACTATTTATCATAGCATATTATAGTATAAAATTGAAGAAATAAAATGATACTTCACACAACAAGGAATCTATATATATATATATGTTAGTATATTAAAAATACACCTTAATGTATGCGATTTAAAATTCATTGTCTAATATTCACTATAAATAGAGGGTAACAAAAATAAGACGTGTCCTACGATTTTTGAGCAAGTGTACATATACTTGGTATATTAAAAAAAAGAATTACACATCGCACGTATTATAATAATTGAATAATTGATAATATTCTGTCTACAATCAATAACATTCCTATTCTAAGAAATGTTAAACCTTGTTCCCTCGTGTATCTTGGGAAATTCATTTTCTCAAGAATTGCATTCTTTTCTAACAAATGTATAATACATTATTCGTTTCATACATGGCTAATATTCTGAGAATTGTTGGTAATATTGAGGATAGTCAAAGGATTGTTAAAATTAGAAAAGTAAATCAGAGTTACTGACCGTGGAGGAAACAGCGGTTTCGAGGTAGAACTGCACTACGACTTTGGAATACTCTGAATTCTTGAAACTCTCAAAACAGTTACGGTAATTGTTGTACATTTGCATGTGTGTAGAGATGAGTGCGTGTACAAGGGCGGTAAATGCGTGGTGAGTGGAAGCTTAGAGCGAAGTGTTTTAGATGGAATAGGTTGCACGTACATGCAATATTGTTTATGGCGGTTACAGTTTTAAGTATAGCAATGAAAACAAACGACTTTTAGAAAATTTGAAGAAGCAACGCTTTTACGGATGTGGCGGCGTTGATAAAATTTTGACTTTCAAAAAAATCATTCTGCCGGCTGAGAGCTGTATATTGGAATATAACGAACGAATAGAATCGTAAAATATTACGATTAAAATATTTTGCAAACGTTCGAACTCTTTCGTATTATAAAATATACTAAATTTTAAATATACTTTTTCAATTTTATTTACCATTCGTTAACGTGTATCATTTAAATAAATAAAGACAGTATTAAAATACTATACAATTGTTATAAAATATTATAAACATATGAAATGTACTAAATTTTAAGGATTCTCGTCAAAATTCTCCGTAATAGAAGATTCAAATACTTTTTCAATTCCGTTTGTCATTCGTTAAGGTAAATTATTTAAATGAGTAAAGAAAAAAATTATTAGAACAAGTATTTTAAATCAATGATATACAATTTCAATTATTCACACGTATGTATACTATTACGTATGTATACTACTACTATATCAACAAGTGTCTATAAAAAATTGATGGAACTATCAAAGAAAAGAGAGCAACACACGCACACATACAGTGTGTACATAAAATATTTCTGCTAGTAAGTGTTCAAATATTTTCCCGAGCCATTGTAGCTTCGATAGCGACACGCTACTCGATACAACATTATCGATGAAAAGGATCGGTCGAAGACAGGGGATGTGGAAAATGGGTCGGCCGGTATAGCAGTTCGTTGGAATCCCGAAGGACCAAGGCGACCAGCCAATATTGTATTTACATGTCCAAATTAGTTGAACCAACGAACACGAGCTATCGTGGCCTGTGCTTGCTCGTAGGGGCAAAATTTCGTTTGAGCCTCCGAATCTCTCACGACACGCGAAACTATCGTACAAGTAACGGTACAGTTGCCTAATTTCGATAATAAAATCTTGGTGAAAATTTCGACGAGACCGTGTTCCGAGTACAAGTCAATTGCAAAGCTTTGATATTTAATTTTACAATTTTTTTTCATATTAGAATTATTTAGTTTTTTATATTGAAATTACTAGAGATGAAAATGACTAGCTCGTTTTTTTCTCATAGAAATTTTCTAGTGTAGATTTTTGCAACAATGCATTTTGAGAATTTTGATAAGTTTTTGGGGAGTATATAAATGTTTTTTATTCTTTTTAATGTTTTTGTTGCACTTTAATTTCTCTAATATGAATTTTAGTCAACGATAGGTGTATATATATATGTGTATATGTGTGTATACACAGACCTATATACATTATAAGTATATTTTTATTTATGTATAAATATAAAGCGATATTTCAAACTTGTAAAATTTTAAAATGAAATTTTATGTTGTTGCAAATATTTATACAAATTATGTGTTTATGTAAACACAACTATACAATATTTCGAAAAAATTGAATATTACGACATAACAAATATACATATGTAAAATTTTATGTATTTATGGAAGAAAAGGTGCAAAAATTCGTAAAAATAATTTAACTTGTAGAAATAATCAAAATGAACAAATATCCAAAATGGAAAACATTAAATAAAAATACAAATTTGCATAAACGTTGGTACGACATTTCACGTACTTTTTCATACCAGACATATTTTATGATTGCAGCACCTTTAAATCGTCCATAAATACATGCAGCCATTACTTTTACGTATAATAATGTTATTCTGAATTATATTCGGACAAATAATTACTTACTTAGTCAAATCATTTCGCTGATCGCTCCAACGCGTGCACTTTTCACAAACTTCCATATGCAACTGTTACATCAGTCAATCGATATCGAGAAATAACGAGAAAGATCGATTTTTCAATCTGCCAATCAGATTCGAACGTTTTACGCGGCAGTCGAGTTAAGTTGGCAACGCAAGCCTGAGTGACGTAGATCTTAGGTTGGCTGCACTTTCAGTTAGCTGTTCAACCGACACGTCTCGGTACGTATGTATTTCGCGCGTATATTATTTTCGTGTTTCAATTCGTGTTTTCCTTCGTATGAATAGTTAACACACTTTTCAATGTTCGTTAATATTTCGTATTTTCTTTCGTTCGAGACAACGATAAAGTTTGATACAAACAATGCATCGCGATAAATCATATGTGACAGCTTAGCTAGTAACGCGATCGTATGCGACAACATAGACAAGTAAAATTATTATTTTATACATTCAGTGGATTTATTTAATAGATTGATTTGTTTAATAGATAGATTTGTTTAATAATAGATTATTCAGTTTAAACAAGTAAGTCTTTTACGTAACTTTTTTTCAAACCAACTGCACGTATATACGTATGTGATTGACAGCGACGACTAGCGGTGAAACATATAAACGATAGCCATTCGATTCTTTATATCGATCGATCATACGATGATGTCGAACTGTGAACGGTTAAGTGAGAGTTGCGAAATTTGTGGAATAATTGTTTCTATAATTGACGCGAGTGTTACGTGTGCTTTTGCCGGAATGTCCGAAATTCTATTACGCGGGATATATATTGTAATTTACTGTGATTGTGGCTTGTGACGAATCAAGTGTCATTGATGGTGGAGGACAATAATATAGGTATGTAACCTCTTGCCTCATAATTTTTTTCTCAGTCTTTATTAAACGTGTTAGATTACATCGTATTAGATTTATTAATTATTTATTTATTATTTATTAATCTCCCGTTTGAAGAATTATAGTCGAAAATTCAAATTTCTGATGTATTCCATGGAACTATTATGCGAATTTTTTCTTTTTTCTTATGGTTAATAAATAATATTAAAATAGTCCAATTTCTAGAACTCATATTGCAAACTTTTTTTAACATCATTACTCTTTTTGTTAAATGAAAATTTAATACACAGCGGCTCGCACAAACATATAAGCGGCTTACAAACATACAAGCTGAAAAATGTACTTTTTTAATTCCATCGCGTTTTTTTGAGGTTAATGCAGTAATCTGTAATTCTATTTTTTCGTTTTTTCTGAGAAATGTACCTTTCAAATTCATTATCATTGCAGATGGTACGATATGCATATATTCATATATGTGCATATATACTAATTTGTATAATTACTTTCTACTAATATTCAGTTGGTCCACGTATTAAAAATTCGTAATAACAATTATATTTATTCAATAATTATTTTATTTTCCAAATTATTGAATTTTCTTAATAATTATTTTATTTTTAATTTTACTACTATTAATTTCATCAAACCTCTTATATTAAAAAAAAAATCTTTACAAAATAAATTATTATAATGAAAAAATTTAAAATAATGGTTTATAAAAATACTATGTTTAAAATTCCATTATCATTTATGAATCTTCCATCAATAGATATTAATTATATATGAAATCATTCTTAATATCGTTCATTGTGCTTTTTCATAATCGTGCCACGTGATAAACAGCCCTGCATAGAATTTCAGATCGTTGAGTTACGCAAATTATCGTGCATCAAAACCGTCAGGCTGTAGCGGATAAGTATTGACCATTAGAGATAATGAGTTTGCATAATTATTAACGAGTTTAATGGTGAATGAATGCCGCCGATGGTCCGCAAACGTCTGTCCGTAATAATCAATGTTTATTAAAACACGATGAACACGATAAACAATATTCCCCTGCGTGTTAAAATAATTATTATCACCGAACAAACTGTACATGGTGGATGAACATGGTTTACGAAATCGAGGGTTCGGTAAAGTGGGGAAATTGTATCGGGTATGAATATAATTTAATGCTTAAATAGCATCGTTCGAGGCCATAAAAATTTATGTGGCTTGATTTCGGAATTCACGATTTTCACGTAGAATGCGAAATAAAATTCAATTATGTTTTTACGGCGATAATTACATAATTACATCGTGCGTTTCCATTGCAATCCGTAACGGAATTTCTCTCAGTCTGTGAATGGAATTTGTAATATTCAATTTGAATCGGATTAACCGATAATTAGAGACAAACAACTGCAACTTAACAATGAAATACTATACTATCCTACGTAAATACATAATTTACGCGAGAGTTCCAAATTAGTGACAAATTTGTTGTACAAGTAATTTTGAAACGGTCCGTTTTGTTCGAGATGGTTTATATTTTTCTAAAAAATGGAGAGAACGTCAGATATTAAATATTAAATATTATCTCACGTTGCGTTGTAACCCTTGATTAAGTATAAATTCACCGTTTTAGGCAAAACGACTTGTTTTATTTCGAATCATCGGAGATTTAACTAACGAAAGATGAAATTCAATTGATATTGTATTTCTTATTCGTAGAAACGTGTTGAACGTTATTTTTCACCCGTAGAGATATATTCGCATTATTTATTACAGTGGTCAAGTTCTTGAAAATTGCACATCGTAAATTTCGCGGGACTGCTGCGTCATTTACGATCGAGTTTGAGAAACAATCACGACTGTTCGTTAAATCATGAATCCCGACGGATATTACGAATGTGTATCAACGATAAGGCATGTATTTTGTTGCTGCGCCCTGCTCCATAAACGAATCAAAAGTTCGACGGGTATATATGATAATTGTGGCGATGTTTAATTTACAATTATATATTCCCGAACGTGTTCCCACTGTGTTTGATTTTCGCGCAGCCACTGTCGTTCGATGATCGCGGCCGATCGATAATTTGCGAGTTTTGTCGCCCGTTTGTACGCGCGGCGCGCGACAATTTTTAATGAATGCGCGACCGATCTCGCCAGCGGTTAATACCACGGCCACGTTCAAAATAATTTAATTACACGCAAGACGCATGCGAAAACGCTGACAAAGGGAATTCCGCGAATCCTCCGAATAACTTGCCCTCTTCCATTTACTTTGAACCATTCCATTGAAATTCTGCCCGCGACAAATATGGGCTGATTTGGTTATGAGTACACGGTGAAACGCGTGTAAAAAGTTGTATTTTTGGGAACTGATTGCAAACGCGAAACGAAGATGTTTTATTAGTTTAGAGACACGTAGAAAGGGGGGCAAAAAACGACGATGTTTTGTTAATTTATAGAATGAAAATTTCGTTTCGGCGGAGGGATTCGCAAAATTTTCATGAAAATGGAGCTCGAGTGGTTGCAATTTATTGAAAATTGGTCAAAAATTATTAGTGGATCTTTGTGCATTTCTGATTACGTTTGATGACGGAGAAGAATTTCGCCAGTTATTTGAAATTGTATAAAGAGTCACTTGCCTATTACTAAGGATGTGCGAGAACCCGAAAATATCGGAAACTCGACGAGTCGGGACGAGTTCCCGAAAATTTCGAGATTCCCAAAGGAATCAGATTTCCCGGAAAAGTCGAGATTCCCGAAAATTTCGAGAACCTGGCTACCGTTTTTCGAACTATTCTACAATGCTGTATAGCAGCCTAAAAAATATGTAAATACACAGTTCAATTTCTTCTGCCAGTGACGTTATTGGAAACACGGATTCTAAGAATCGTGTGACCTGATGTAAACGAACGTGTGACTGCGTGCTTAGTACTTAGTGGACATTATGCACGCTGTTGAGCAGTATCGCTGAGAAATTCGGGAAGCTCGGACGTATATTTCAAGATCTGTGTAATAAAGATTAAAATCTTTAAAAAAAACTGTCGAGTGATAGTGAGTGTAAAGTTGTGGTAGCAGGAAGTAGTGCAGAAAGATATCGTGCAAAGGAAGAAGGTAAAGAGAAGCTCTGTTTGGGAACATTTTCAGGAAAAAGATGATACAAAGGCGGAATGCATACATTGTCACCATGAATATAAAACTAAAGTATGCAAATACTACTTTATTACGCCATTTGAAGCATATGCATTCAAACATAAGTACATGTGCCAGAAAAGAAACTGAATCGACACAAAATTTGTCGCATGTACAAAATGATACGCGAAAGATTGTTAAACCAAAAGATATAGCAGAATGAATTGCTCGAATGATGGTTCTAGATCTGCGACCTTTCGATATAGTTGAAGACGTGGGCTTTAACGAATTATTTATTCTTTTTACCAATTCTCTCCCGAATCCCAACTCTTTCGGGAATTCCGATAAATTCGAGACTCTCGAAATTTTCAGGTACCGATCCCGAAGAAATTTCGGGTTCTCGCACACCTCTGTCTATTAGAGAAATAGAGCTTTTGCGAAAATTTTTTTCAAATCGCAATTCGTAGATTTAGGACAATCGTTCCTCTTGCACTAGTTTTCCGACGAAGGTGGAAAACTAGGTTCCATTAACGGTGAAGGAAGCTGTAGCGTGCCGATCTAGTTCTACGTATTTTCTTTTCTTTGACGTACGAGCCGATCGGTGGCTCGCTGCCTTCAACGTTAATGAAGTGCAGCTGGTTCAAAGTAAAGTTTGATTTGTGATATTGATTAAAGAGTGCGAATTGAATCCTACGACTAACACTTTTTTGTATATTCACTCACAGAAATATATTGGGCACTGAACGTAAGATTAGAAAAAACAAGAGTATTTTTTTTTTTTTTTTTTTGTTCTCTAAATTGTTCTTACTCTGGCATGCACTGGGTTTGGGGACGCGAACCGGCAGACACGCGGGAGGTTTTCTTGCTGATTTGAAAGTGAGAATAAGACTGTTCTATTTTGTTTTTTTTTTTTTCTCTCCTTATGTGGCTGAGTTGCTGTTCCCTGGGATTTGGGCGTCCCGATGACCTGCATAAATGAAACAGTTGTGTTTGGATTTCTTGATTTTTTTAATTGTTGCTTTTGAGTCTGGTGGTGGTGTTTTTGCAGGATAAAATTTTCAAAAACCTGCGGAAACTGGAGTATGTGGTTCTTTAGTTTTGAATGATTTTTGTGCTAGGGATTGTTTAGTGTTGCATGTTTTGGTAGTTTTGTTCTTATTTTTAGAGGAATACTGTCTATTTGATAGTCACCAATGGCTTTGATTAGTGGATTTTCGTGGTTTGGATGGAATGCTTTGTTCATTGTTGTTTTGATGTATTCTTCTATTGTGGGAATGTTGGCTTTTAGGTGGAGCGTCTTTATTGAGCGTCTTTATCTGTGTCATAAGGTTTGTTCAGGATGATTCTTAAAAATTTGTTTTGGATTTTTTGTATTTTGTTTATATGGGTTTTGGCAGCAGCCGCCCATATTTGAAGTCCATATGTTATGATCGGCCTGACACAGATTTTGTACAGGTTTAGTTTGATTTCGGTTTTTAGTTTGCTGTTTCTTGAGATCAGTGGATATAGTCTACGGAGTGCTGGGTATGCTAAGTTTGCGCGTTTTTGGGTGGCCGGTGCCCAAGTGACTCCTGAGTCGGTGAGACTGTTCTATTTTGTTTCGGAGTCGGCTCTTATATATCCGAGCCCTCTTTGTTTCCTTTCCGATCCTGTGATCAGAAAGGTGGGTTTTTCCAAACATTTTCAGGGTCAGTTCCAAGAAGTAAATTTGACAATTGCTTCTTGGAACTAACGGTTCTATCTTCCGTGTCCTGCCGGTTTATTAGTGTCCTGTTTATGGTGGGGACCGATGCGATAAAAAAACTCATCGAGCCTTGGAATTAAGAGTCAAATATAACTACAATACGGAAATGTCAGTTTGAAATATGAAATACGGTCGC